TTAGAGTGCTCAAGATTGATCTGAAGAATATTCATCCTCCGAAATCCTCTCCAACACCGCTCCGCAGGCGCCATCCCCATCGGACGCAAGGAGCATTTCCTCCTCCGCCCTGTCGAACAGCGGGCCAACAGAGATGACCGATCCCGCAGTTGAAGGAGGGCCAGCCATGCTGTCACTGTCCGACATGACGGATTCGACCTCCATAAAGAGCTCTTGCTCAGAAAAATATAAAAGTATTTTTTTATAACTTTCCTGACTTGAGTATTAAACTGGGGGCTCAACCGGTCTTAAAAGCCATTTTCTAATCCTGTAACGTTACAAAGGATAAGGAAAAATATAAAATCCCACGGGAAGTAAGACTTCCAGCACTACATATTTGAAAAAAGTGCTTAAATAATTAATATAAACACAAACAACACACGATTCAAAACAAGTGAATCGAAAAGTGAATCAAAAAAGTGAAACACAAAGGCGAAACTGGATACCTTACGTAAATTAAAAACAATAAAAAAAACAAAAACTTACGACGACAACAGAAAACTAGAAAACCCAATAAAAATGGAGGAACAACTAGCTCAACTACACGCAAACATGGCTGCATTGGTAAATCAGATCCAACAACAACAGGCGGACTTCACAGAGAGAGTAGCTCGGCTAGAGCAACAAAACGCTCCACACGAAGTGGTACTACACGACGAAGTCAAACTTAACATCACCGACCCAAGGGATATAGACCTTGAATTGTTCAAATCTCTACCAAAATTCGATGGAGATAAAGAGCAATACCGATCATGGAGATCACAAGTTTGGACCTTCATGGAAGCGATAAAGAACTTCCAATACCATCCAAAATATTACAGCGCCCTGGGAATCATACGAACAAAGATTACAGGACCAGCTGCGAATATATTAACAAATCACGACACCAAATTAAATTTTTATTCAATCATCAACCGACTTGACTATACTTATGCTGACCAACGCCCACTATATGTCCTCCTGGGCCAAATGAAAAAAATCTCACAAGGAAGAAAAACTCTCGCAGAATTCCACGGTGAAGTATCTAAGGCACTTAATTTAGCCTTAGCCAAAATCGAAATGTCCAGTGATGACAACAACGAAGGTATGAAAACTTACGCCAACCAAGAGGCAGTAAGAACGTTCATCCTTGGCCTAAATTCAAAATATACCAGCGGTACGCTGTATAGCTATAATCCAACAAATTTGGAATCGGCATACGCGACAGCCTGTACCATATCACACGATAACATAAATGAAGAATTCGAAACACAGAACGTACAACCCAGATTCCAGCATCATAGGCAAAATCGGAGCACCTACTCACAACCACATCGTGAAGAGAGGTACTATAAGCTAAACATCAGAATTCAAAGCAACGACTACCAACAACGAGGAGACCATCAACAAAGAAGCTTCTTCAATCAACAAAGACAACCTGCACCTATTCCAATGGACGTGGACCACTCTAGACAATATGTCCCAACAAGTAGACGCAATAATGCCGTAAGTCACAATAATAATATACCTAACAACATATATAAGAGAGATAGGACATTCAGTCATAATAACGTAACTACTCCACAAAATAAGTCACAAAGAATAAATCAAGTAAATAGAGAAGATCTAGAGTCAGTAGATTTTTCCAATTACGAAGAACAATTCGAAGCAGGCAGTACTTTTTTAGGCGAATAAACGGGCTGCCTTGCTTACAAACAAAATGCGGCCTAACCGGCACGCCCGTTACCTTATTAGTTGACACTGGCTCCACTAACAATTACATAAATATAAATTGCAATATAGGAAAATCGATAAAAATAAAACCATTTAAAACCAAAACCTTACATGGTCACTCAATTATCTAAAAAAATAATAACGATGTACGGACATCATTTAACTTTCTATGAAATTAAAGAATTAAACGACTTTGACATGATACTCGGAGAACAGGGACTACGCCAAATAAAGGCAGAAATCAGTTTATTTGATTATAGTTTAAAATATCAAAGAAAAAAGGCCCTAAAAGTAGAAACAAAGATTAATTATACTATTAACAATAAAAAATTTAAAGATCAAGTCGATGAACTTATGAAGATAAATAATAATATTAGTGAAACATTACCTTTTACAACGACGATACAAGCATCTATCAGGACTGAATCAGAAGATCCCATATGGACAAAACAATATCCATATCCCATGTCTGATCACGACTTTGTCAGGAAAGAAATTGAGAAACTTTTAAATAACGGTATAATACAGCCAAGCAAGAGCCCATATAACTCACCTATATGGACTGTTCCAAAAAAGGGCACCGATGACCAAGGCAAGCCCAAGCGAAGAATGGTTGTTGACTTTCAAAAGATTAATTCTCATACGATTACTGACAGATATCCAATTCCAGATGTTAATATGACAATATAAAACCTAGGAAAAGCAAAGATTTTTTCCACACTAGATTTAGAATCAGGGTTTCATCAGATACTAATTAAAGAATCTGATCGAGAAAAGACAGCATTCTCTGTCAAGGGCGCGAAGTATGAATTTATCAGAATGCCATTCGGATTAAAGAATGCACCCTCAATCTTTCAACGATGCGTTGATGACATATTAAGAGAATATATTGGAAAATTTGCGTATGTTTATATTGATGATGTGTTAATTTATTCATCTACAGCAGAAGAACATATGGAACACATACGGATTATAATTAATGCACTTCACAATGCTAACATGAGAATTTCTGACGAAAAGTCACATTTTTTCCAAGACTCAGTAGAATACCTAGGACATATTATAAAACACAATAGAATTACCGTAGATCCAAAAAAAAGTTGAAACTATAAAGAACTACCCACAACCAAAAAATTTAAAAGAATTGAAATCTTTCTTAGGACTTGCTAGTTACTATAGGAAGTTTATAAATGATTTTGCTAAAATCACGAAACCCTTAACAATTCATTTGAAAGGAGAATTAGGAATGGTAACTAAAAATCAAAGTGCCAAAGTATCAATACGCTTAGACGCAGCAGCAGTAGAAGCCATGGAAAAAATAAAAAACGCTTTACAAGAACAAGTTGAACTTTTCCAACCAGATTTCTCTAAACCATTTAGCTTAACAACTGATGCTAGCAATTTTGCCATCGGAGCAGTCTTATCTCAAAATCGCCACCCAATCGCATTCATCTCACGCACACTAAATGAAACAGAGCAAAACTATAGTACAAATGAGAAAGAGTTACTAGCAATCGTTTGGTCTTTACAAAAACTTAGAAACTATTTGTACGGTGTAGCAAACCTAACAATTTACACAGATCACCAATCCTTAATTTTTTCGATTTCCGAAAAAAACCCAAATGCAAAGCTAAAACGTTGGAAAAATCTAATTGAAGAATACGGTGCAAAACTAGTTTATAAACCTGGACACCAGAACGTTGTTGCAGACGCACTTTCCCGACAACAAGTCAACAACAAAACAGATTGTTCAGACCATTCACAACAAAGCTCTCCAAATGAAATTATGAAAAAAGTTAAACAACTACTAAACTCTTTTAAAAATCAAATAATTATTTTACAAGATAATGAAAGAAACGAAATTCTTAATCAAACAACATTTCCCGGTCAATCTAGACACACAATATTTTTTAAAGATACCCCAGATTTGCTCTCCAAATTAAAAAATGTAATTAAACCAAAACTCACTAATGCGATAAAAATAGACGAAGAAATACTATTTCACTTAAAAAAAGAAAATAACTTCCACTTTCCCAAATTGCACCCTGGTACTAGCCCAAAATCAGCTAATTGACGTAACTTCCTTAAATGAGCAAAGTGAAATCGTCAAACAGACACATAAACGTGCACATAGAAATTACAAAAATAACACACAAGAAATATTGTTGACCCACTACTGGCCCAACATTAAAGAGAGGTGCAGAAAAGAAGCAGTAGATTGTGAAATATGTTTACAGCACAAATATGAAAGACAACCAAATAAACAACCTATAGGAAAAACCCCAATACCAACACGAGTAGGAGAATACATACAGATGGACATATTCCATATCAATAACATGCAGTATCGTAGCTCCATAGATAGATACTCCAAATATTGTTTCCTACGAAAACTAAACACAAAAACAAACTGTCACGAATACATAGAAGAAGTACTCACACAAGTTTACCCAAATGCTAAATATCTCATGACTGATAACGAGAGTACATTTAACGGACACATAGCGAAATTTTTGTACAACCGGCTACAAATAACGCACTCCGTCACGCCTGTACATCATTCAACATCAAACGCTCAAGTTGAACGATTACATAGTACACTAATCGAACTCTGTCAAACCTTAGCTGCAGAAAATAAAACAGCTCCCGTCGACGAATTATTCAACGCAGTTCGCCAATACAACAGGACAATTCACTCCTCCACAGGATATAAGCCCGAAGACGTGTTCTTTAATCGTGATAAATACCCTGATATCAAAGACACACTTGAAGATAAACAAGCAAAACTACTCCAACATCACAATAAGAACAGGAAAAGCATAACTTACAAACCAGGTGACCTAATTTACAGCCGAACCGATCGCCGTAACAAACTCGCTACAAAATATAATAAGCAGGGAACGGATTTTATGGAAATTGCCTTTTTTTCTGCTAAAGAGATAGAGTATATTCGATCAAGAATGTCCACGATTTAGCTTTCCCTGATTCCATATATACCCATTTGATGTTGCCTTTTTTTGCCTTTTTTAAGATAATTGCCTTTGTTTTGCCTTTTTTAAGATATTTGCCTTTTTTGCCTGTTTTAAGATATTTGCCTTTTTTTTGCCCTTTCTACCTTTAAAAAAGTGATTATAGCATTTACAATTTTTTTAAAGATTAAGAAATATACACATGCCCATATTCGAAAATTAGTATGTATAGAAAAACGCAGTGTCTAAGTAGTGAATACTTAAGCAAAAATAAATTTTGTAGTTTTCATGTCACTCTGTTGCGTGCTAAAATCTATCAACACAGTTGCTGATGTGCACAACTAACAACTGTTTTACTTCAATAGAGTTTGCCAGCCGTTATTGAAACAAAAAGTTATTCAGTGTAAAAACTAAAAAAGCAATGCCGAAGTCTAAAATTACCAAGAGTTTAAAAATTCACACTCTGATTCCCGAGTTTGGTTCGGATGTATTTTGTACTGATGGGACCGTTTTATTTTGCAATATTTGTTCAGTAAAAGTTAATCACGAAAAAAAATATTATATACAGCAGCATATTAAAAGTGAAAAACATATAAAAGGATTATAAATAAAGAAAAACAGACCCAAATGATAGCACCATTTGTGGAAAAGAATGTATTTTACGCAGATATTACTAAAATGATGATTGCATGCGGAATTCCACTTTATAAATTGAAGAGTGTGGAATTCAAATCATTCTTTGAAAAATACGTTCAGGAATCCCTTCCCGATGAATCAACTCTTAGAAAAAATTACGTGAAGGATTGTTACGAGTCCGTTTTGCAGAAAATTCGTTTAGAAATAGGAGAAAGCCCCATCTTTGTGTCCATCGATGAAACTACAGATAAGGCAGGCCGCAGTGTAACCAACGTTATTGTTGGACCGTTGCGTGAAAGCGGACGCGGCTATCTCTTGACGGTGGAGGTGTTGGATAAGGTGAACTCATCAACAATCGCAACATTGTTTGACGATTCTATGCACATTTTATGGCCAATAGGATTCCAACGTGAAAAAGTGTCGGTATTTGTGACTGATGCAGCACCCTACATGAAGAAAAGTGCGTTATCATTGAAGCTGCTTTATCCTAATATGATTCATATCACCTGCGTCGCACATGGCGTACACCGGGTCTGCGAATCTCTACGCTCGAAGTACTCAGATGTTGACGTCTTAATTTCAAACTTAAAAAAAGTTTTCTTGAAAAGCCCATTCAGGGTGGCAGTTTTCAAAGAAATGGAACCCAATCTTCCTCTGCCTCCTCAGCCGGTATGTCAAGATAAATTGCTATTGTTGTTAATTTTAATTATAATTGTTAGTAAATTTATACAGGTGATAACTCGATGAGGCACATGGCTAATTGCAGCCGTATATTATGCCGAAAACTATGATTCCATCAAAAGAATAATTGACCAAATAACGGACGATGCAGCATGTGTCAGTTTCTCGAAGCAATTGTTGAGCAAAAAATCGGTTCAGGGGAATTTGATATATATAAAATGCAATTTTGGTTTTCTTTTAGAGGAAAAAGTTTTCGAACGTCTACAGAAAACAGGTTGTGGAAAAACCAAATTCTCAGTAAAAAATTAATAATTCACATACACTTTTTATGTAATTGTAGGAACTCCAGTTGGTGAGGTATTAAATATTTTGGATAACATTGAGAAGCGGCTTATAGAAGCGCAGGGACCTATTGCCAAATTGGTGTTGGAAAAATTCAAAGCCGTTTTCTCAGCTAACTTAGGCTTGGAGACAATAAGGGGTGTGGATAAAATTGTTAAGGGCGAGGCAAATGCCCTTATTCCTGATAATATGAACGTTTCAAACGTTCCATATTTAAATTGGGCGCCACTTGTATCAACTTACGTCGAGCGCACATTTAGTACATTCAAGGCTTTTCTTCGCGAAAATCGAATGAAAATGCTGCCAGAAAACTTCAAAATGCATCTTGTGGTTCAATGTTACTACAACTATACAGATTAAAGTTTTATGAGTTAAAAACTCGAAATGATAAAATAGTCAAAGATTCAAAGTACAAATTTTTCATATAATGAAATTAGTTCATAATTTTTCTCTTTTTACTTGTAATATAAAAATTTCTAAAATAAATGTAATTTTTGATTGTTCTTCGTATTTTCTGTCTTTTTTAGTGCCTTATTTTGCTTTTTTTGCAATACCTTTCTTTTGCTTTTCTTGCCTTTTTCGCTATTTTGTTTTGCCTTTTTTTGCCTTTTTTGCACTACCTAGTGCCTTTTCCTGCCTTTTTCGCTATTTTATTTTGCCTTTTCCGTCCTATTTCGTTATTTTATTTTGCCTTTTTTATAGGTTTTTAGGTCCTAAAAATCCGTTCCCTGATAATAAGCATAAGGTGAAAGAAGATCGTGGGGACACAATCCTAACAACTAGGGGGAAAATAATACACAAAGATAGCATAAGAAAAAATTGCATACCATGCAACAAACAGGATTCTTAAATTTAATAATAATAACCTGCGGGTTATGCGATGAAATCACCGATTTGACTGGTAAGAAATACGTACTCACTGAACTAGATTCCGGGTATATTTATGAGACTTCATCCTATCCTTACCATGTATCGAATCTATCTATAATATTAGCTCCATATGAAAAAATAGTGAGAACTAGATATGATTCAATTCAAACTGAAGGAAAAAATATAATAATTGATAAAATAGAAACTCTGAAGACACAGTTAATATCATCCGAGTATCGTGCCAAACGCGCCCTTAATTTTTTAGGCTCAGTATTAAAATTTGTTACAGGAATACCAGATCACGATGATCTAGTTGAAATTAAAACAGGACTTAATCAACTTATCGAAAATAATAATCAGCAAAGGACAATAAATTCTCGATTTGAAAAAATCTTAACAACCCTAGATCCACAACCTATTTTTGATAATTCAATACTTACGGAAATATACAGTGAACTATTAACTATTACAAATACCATTAACTTTGCAAAAACAGGAAATTTCTTCTCTGGAACACTTAATATCAGAGATGTAGAAGAAGTAATAAAAAACGAAGTATATGATATTCCAATAATAAATATACTAGAATATTCTGATATCCACATATGTACCTTTCATGATGCTATTATAACAATCTACAAATATCCTGTAATAAGAAATAAATGTAAAATGTATAATCTAACCCCATTAGCCTTTAAATATGGAAAATATCAACTTAACAACAAAATAGCTTTATGTAATAATACATTCAACAACTTATCAAAATGTAAAAACTATATAGGCACACATATTTGTAAAAAAGAACCAAAGGATAATTGTACTATTCCTTTATTATTAAAACAAAATGCTCACTGTAATATTATCCAAGAAAATAACATTCCCTTACAAATATTAGATAATGGTAACATTATTATAGACTATGAACACATATGGAACGGACTCAAAGTAAACGGTCCACATTTAATCCAATTCAATTTTAATACAACTATTGATAATAAAACTTATATTAACCATAAACAGGAAATAAAAAATGTAATACATGCCCATCAAAACGAAAAAGTTAATATATTGAAAATTTTAAACTCCGAATCAGATTATAAATTTACCAATATACAAGAAATGTATAAATTAGTGATTCCAATTGAAGAACATCCTTGGAAATTTACTTTATATTTAACCATAATAATATTTATACTAATTCTACTTATATACTTAATTATAAGATTACATACATATCGACAACTACAATTAAGCACCAAACGCCGAAGAAACTTCGAATTAGCTTACCTAACCGAATTACAAAGATGTCAAAACCTAAGCCCTTCGAAATGAGGACATTTCATTTTTAACACCGGGGAGAGTTAACGACGTTAATACATATACTGCATGTATTACATACATACATACACTACATACATAGCTAACATGCCTGGTCACATACATTACATATATACATAAACTATAATGTACAAATAAACATGTTTGTCTCATAAGTAACAAAAGAATATGATAACACGAGAACACGTAAACAACCTACCGATAAACTATAACATGTTTGTCTCATAAGTAACAAAAGAATATGATAACATTGTAAACAACCTTCAATAACAAATTTAATCACTAAACCATTAACAAACACCATTTATCATCAGTAGTAGAAATGGTATAAATAGATGTAAGCATAAACATGTAAGGAGTTCGAGATTATACGAATTCAAATAAAGAGCTCTTGCTCAGAAAAATATAAAAATATTTTTTTATAACTTTCCTGACTTGAGTGTTAAACTCCCGCCAGCGCAACCGGAACAGGCTCGTCATCTACCCTGGAGTCGGTCTAGTAGGCCATAGTAAATGACTCCCTGTTTTTCGGCGAGAGGCTTGAGAGATTCCGTGTTCAGCAACATCAGCGCTTGCCGGGAGTCACCGTCGGAACTCTCAAACCGGATTGCCTTCCAGTTGTGCGCTGGAAGGTCCGGGTTGCAGTAACGGAAGATGTCTTCCACCTCCCTCAGCGGGGAAGGTGCCGAGGGAAGCCAGACCCGAGCACGCGGACGCGAGGGAAGGTCCCCCTTGTCCACAACCTCGAGTCGGGCTCCCTTCCACACCTCCCCGACCAACGCTACTGCCGCCCTGTAGAGCGAGGCCGACCGCTCGTCGGCGCACACCACCTTCTTAAACATACCCTGGTGCCAACCGGCTCTCTCGCACCGCGGCGGTGGCCCCGGGTTTTGCTTGATCACCCTCATAAAAACTCCTGATAAGGCCGACGAAACCTTCCTCCAGTCTCCCCTGGATTTAGCCGCAAGTCCTTGGCTGGTACCGGCCACACAGTCCATTGCCCTTACGTCCAGAGCCGCAGACGATTTCATCTGCGGCCCTGCCTCCGTCCTGCACGCAAGCGAATTCGCCCGCGCCCCTAACCCCGAGCCTAGGTGCGGTGGGTTCCCACCGGCACCACCAGAGACGAGTGCAGACGAAGGGGTCGGCTCCGACCCCTTACTGCACCCTGCAGCAGCAGCTGCCCCACCCTGCCCACGAGTCGATTCCGCCTCGTTTAAAGAGGAGCGGACGAGAGGGATCGGTTTCGAATCCCCTCCTCCGCTCGAAGTTTTGTCCGTAGACATAGGTTTTTGGTTTTGTTTTTGTTTTTGTTTGTTTGTGTTCATCTTGTTCGTACGACCACCTACCCGACGAAGCAGGCACAGTGGTCTAGGTCATAAAAGTGGAATTCAAACGGTCCACTACGGCAGCGCCCCATGCCGCAGCAAGGCCACCGTTACTCCCTGAAGCGGCCCGGTGTCAGGAAGGCGCCGTTAAAATACAGCCGGTCTGGTAAACCCCCTGGCTGCAAACCTTCCAATGGGCACGGTGTCGCTTAACACCCTGGATTAGGGGGTCGGCAATTCTTGGTCACCGCTCACAAGCAGACCGAACCATAGGAAATGGAGTGCATTCGCACAGTACCCGGAGGTAGAGACACGATTACACTACCACCCGATGATAAGGTCTGGTCGTGATTCGACTAAGCCCCCGCACCAACGACAAGGTGCCTGCCCTAGCGGAGGCTGGCAATGGCATACAACAACAACTTTTCGTTGACGTTTTTGTTTCATGTTAATGGTCGATGATTTATTTCGTTTCAACGTTAACGATTGAGTTTTGTTTCGTTAATTTAGCTCTGAAACGTAACAAAATTATTTTGATAAGTTATTTTTGCCTGTTTAGAATTTGACGAGATTGTGGGTTACGGTTTTTAATATATGTATATATGTTTAATTCAACTTTAAATCTTACGGCTAATTAACAATAATGAATATGTGAGTGTGTGAACGCGAGTATGGAAATTAATGTGAACGAATGAATAGATTGGTATGTATTGTACAAAAGTAATGGAAATGAAATTAATAATATTATGCAAATGTGCACATTAAAGATGAATACAATAAAATTATAGTTTAAAAAACTAAAACCTCGCTATTATAATTTCCATTCGTACTGTCATCAGGTATGTAACTTGAGAATAGAAATCGCTGCATCTTTTAGGCGCATCAATATTACATAGTTACACCCCGAGCTAATAAAAGGGAGGTAAAAAGAAGTAACCGCATGTTACACAGGAATCTTAGTGTAAATTAAAATGAAACAAATGATTTCAAAAAACGATTGTTAATGTAAAGTTGATTGTTGCTCCGATGAAAGTCCTCGATCGGGAAAAGAGCTTTGCAAAAATAGGTAGATGGCAATGTGGCGGCTGCCCTTATAGGCAACACTGGAAATGGATTTCCGTGCACCTTTTCGAACTTCCAGCTAAACAGGGATGCTTTTGGCTGAAAGTGGTGCAGGGATGCAAACAACTTTGGGAAATTTAAGGGAGCGCAAGTTCCTTAAACATACCGGCCGAGTTGCACCGGTGCAAAGCTGTCCCGTAATTGGGTCAATGCATTAATGGCAACATTAAGTTGACGGTACGTCTCTGCCCTCGACGGCCCACCCGTTGGCGGATGCGATGACCTCTTGGCATTTACCCTTTCCCCTGGTACGGCGCGGTGCAGTAAAGTGTGGTGTTGCTGTCCCCATTCCAATAACGATGCCGCTCCACTCACTGGATCCGGTCCTCGACATTCATTGCAAGGAAGGCCTTGCAAAACCGCAATGGATGGTATCGGAAGCACATTTGGCACTGGTGTACCAACGGATTTCGCGGCGGGTTTACGAACGGAGCCTGAATCTTGCGGATTGGTGATGGTAGAGATGGCGATCGTCGGTAAAAAGATAGGAGTTTGATAAAGCTAAGGTAAACGTGGAGTGTTGTTTAGGTGTGGTGTGTTGCAATCTGACTAGGCAGGTTGGACTGAATGGGAAGTGGACACAATTTTAATTGGTCGCGTAAAAATGCCGTGTTGCGTCCTAACGTCTGCGACGCGCACGAGATTGTCTGACCCGTGATATACCATCTCTATTCGGCCTAAGCGCTATTCATTTGGTGGTATTAAGACAACAAAATCGCCTACGGTGAGATTCTTTTGTGGAACTTCCATTTATACGGCTGGCGAAGTTCTGTCAGGTACTCGTCTTTCCAGCGGAGACTGACCTGTTGGTGTAGAATCTTTAATTTCTCCCATCTTTTCTGTAGTGAAAGGTGATAACCGTTCTGGGGTTTCCAGGAGAGGCGCACCACGCAGAAAATGACCTGGAGTTAGGGCTAGCAACTCTTGGGGACTATGGGACATAGGAGAAAGTGGTCGCGAATTCAGAACTGCTTCGATACGTGCCAATAAGGTAGCCAGTTCTTCGAAGGTGAAAGAGTGACTTCCCGCAATCCTTTTGAAATGGAGCTTGAAGCTTTTTACAGCAGCCTCCCAAAGTCCACCCATGTGAGGAGCGTTTGGTGGCAAAAAATGCCAATCGAAACCATGTAGGGTATATTTTGATCGAATATCTGAGCATCCCTTGAGGAATCGTTTGAAATCTTGTTGAAAGGCCCGATTTTTTCCATTGTCGGAGAAGAGGCGTTGTGGAAGACCGCGTCTTCCTACAAAACGAGAGAATCCTGCCTAGAATGCTTTCGTAGAAAGATCAGAGCAAGGCTCTCAGTGAATAGCCTTGGTCGAAAAACAAATGAATACGCAAACGTAATCTTTGAGCAGTGGGGATTTTCGCAAGGTAGATGATTTAACGCCCAAAAGACCTGCAAAATCCAACCGGGTGTAGGTAAATGGTAATTAGAAATTTGAACGCTCAGGCGGTAACGCACTTATGATTTGTGAACTGGAATTTTGCTTTAAGATTGCGCATGTTTTGCAATTACGTATGCAGTTTTTGACCTTCGATTTCAGTCTAGGAATAAAATATTATTGTCTCGTCGTCCTGATCATAAGTTGATGCTCAGCATGCATAAGCTAGTTGTGCAAAAACTGAAGAAATAAGTGACAGAATCGAGAGGATTCAGGAAGGATAACTGGGTGTCCCTCACTGTACGAGAGGAAAGAGTTTGTTAAACGACCATTGACTTGAAGTAATCCGTTTTTGTCGATAAAGGGATTTAATGTCAGCAGTGAACTCTTTTTGGAAATTGGTCGTTTGTTCGCTAGTTATGAATACTCATTTTATGTACGCTTGATATGCAATGTATATACACATAAACAACGGTTATTATTGGAAGTATGTACTTAGGAGAGTAAATATAATGGCAATTAAAAGGTATTAAGAATAGCGTTCGAGCCGACTGTTGCAGAGCGACTGACTACATACATGACACCCCTTAACACCCAGATGCTGAATAGAATTCTGTGGGCTGCCTGTTGCGATTAGATCTGCGAGGAGTTGTTACCGGTGTGGAAGGAGTAAAAGCTTCGGTATTGTTTTCCGATTCTAATGCTGGACTTAGGGTTTCATGATCACTCCTAGGGCCTTACTTCTCCAGTTGGCTCAAGCAGGCTAGCTTCAGAATATTCGTCATGTACATGCACGCCTTCAGAATCGGGTGAGGATACTGTGCGGTTACGAAGCTGATCTTAATGACGTCTCACTACTCTCGAATCATTAAGAAGTACGCTGTAGGATATAGGTCCAGTTTGGCCAGTGACTTGACCTTCAATCCATTTAGGTCCTCCAGCATAGTTACGAACCCAAACCGAACTACCTGTCAGAAAATGATTGCTCATTGCGATTTTGCTGACAGTTGGTACATTTCTTCACAGTTGCCTCAATATCTGCATCAATGTTCGGCCACCAAACATAACTTCGAGCCAGGGCCTTCATGCTAACGATACCGGGATGTGTTGCGTGTAAAATAGATTCAGAGATTGTGGCGGAATGACCACGCGATTGCCCCAAACTACACATCCTCTGTTAGCTGATAGTTCGGTTCGTCGACCATAGTATGGAAACAGCTCATCCGACCGATTAATTTTGCTACTGGTCCATCTCCCTGACACCCAGTTTAAAACTTTTGAAAGACACCGATCTTTCGATGTTTGTGTTGCAGTTATCTGAGCGCTTACAACTGGTTTGGCGGATAGTTCGATCATCAGAACATCTTCGGCAGAAGTTGTGTCAACTTCGGACGGTACTGGACATCGACTTAGAAATTTTGCGTTGCCGATTTTCACTCCAGTACGGTGAACCAACTTAAAATCATAAGCATTAAGAAGTGTTGCACGACCAAGCATTTGATTTGAAATAACAGTGGGTACTGGTTTTTCTGTGGTGAAAATTCCCAAAACGTCCATAAAGATAATTATGGAACTTTTTACTCCCGGTATGAGTGCTACTGCTTCTCTATCAATTTGAGCGTAGTTTTGTTCCGCTTTAGATAGAGTTCTCGCATAAAATGCGATGGGTTTTTCCGATCCGTCTGCCAACTTATGGCTACGGACTGCTCCTAGTCCGTAAGGCGATGCATCGCATGTTAATACGATCGGCAATTTTTCATCGTAGTGCACTAATACTTTGTTCGATGCTATAAGCCTTTTCAATTCGTTAAACGCCTTTTCATGTTTTTGCTCCCAACGCCAGCGGGAATTTTTGTCTAATAACCGATGTAGTGGTTCCGCTATTGTTGCTTTGTGGGGCAAAAATGCATGGTAAAAATTAATTAACCGTAAAAAAGCTTGTAGCTGCTTTTTGTCTCTAGGTGATGGTGCTTCATGAATTGCCTTGATCTTTTCGACTGATGGTCGGACGCCAAGGGAATCGAGTTTAAATCCCAAAAAGTCCACTGACGGTACACCAAATTTGCACTTGTCCTTACGCAGACGTAGTCCCGCTTTATCAAAACGTGCAAATACTTCTTCTAGCCTTTTTACTAGTTCATCCTCGCATTTGCCCATGACTACTATGTCGTCGAAATAACAGAGGACCCCCGTAATATTCCTTAAGATATTTTCGATACAGCTTTGAAAAATTCCAGGCGCTGATGAGATCCCGAACTGCAGCCTGGTCACCTTGAATGCGCCCTTCTGCGTGGAAATCGTTTGCAGCAATGCCGATCGCTCGTCAACTATCAACTGTTGGTATGCTCGTGCTAAATCAATTTTAGCGTATATTGATCCGCCTTCGATTGATGCCAGAAGTGTGCTGATAGCTGGTATTTGATAGCAATTTGGTTTGATAACCCGATTTAATGTCGACTTGGACGATTGGGGTTGCCCAATCTGAATAATCCACAGGCTGTAAGATTCCTTGCTCACATAAGCGATCGATTTCTTCTTCGACCATACCCCTAAGCGCAAAGGGAATGCGCCGCGGGGGCAACCGGATAGGTTGCTCTGACGACTTAATTTGCAACGACACCGGAGGCCCCGAATATCGACCAAGTTCGGATGAAAATAAGTGTTCAAACTTACGAAGTACTGAGTTTATGCCTGCGCTGCTGTTGACAGTAAAAACACCTTCGATACGTATGCCTAGCGCTTCGAACCAATTATTGCCAACGAGATTTGAGCTACCACCGCTTGCATATTATTAATTCTGCGATTATTGTACAATATCGATACGTCGAGCACACCTTTGATTGGTATGGAATTATGCTGGTAGTCATTGAGATCCACATTACACTTAGCTAATCTCGGCGATTTCTGGGGCCAAACCTTTTGAAACGTTGCCTCAGTCATAATCGTCACTGATGAACCGGAATCAACTTCGAACAGGCATTTATAACTATTAATCGGCTCGGAAATTGAGTTTTTCTGATTGGCCAAAGGCGTGATTTGATTGACTGAATCTCGATAAGATGATCGTAGTTCGTAGAGCTGGAACTGGAGGAATTTTCCGCTTTGTGACATACGCGTTGCAGATGACCCTTGAGATCGCAATGATGGCAAGTCGTTTCCTTGTACGGGCATTGCTTTCGTGTATGTTGACCTCCACAGCCTGCGCATGTTGCCTCTTTATTGCTTGTATTCTTGTGCTGGTGACGTAGACGGCTTCCTTTGACAGAGTGGACTTGTTCGCTCGAGTACCGGATTAATCTAGCATTCATGGCTGCTGCTTCGCTTTATAATGCACGTTCAAGCACCTTTTGCATTCTCATTTCCCTTTCAGCCAGCAGAATTTTTTACAATCCTTCGTCTTTCATTCCGCATAGGAACCGGTCACGCAGCTTGCGATCGAGTGCCTCTCCAAATTTGCAATCAACAGCCAGAATGCGTAAAGCCGCAATGTAATTGCTGAGAGACTCGTCCGGATGTTGAACACGTTTCTGGAAGTGATAAAATGCAGCAATTTCAGAAGGGCGTGGAGAGAAATGGTCAGTCAATATTTTTTCAATTTCTTCCAAATTTAAGTTACCCACCTGTCTAGGAGATGCCAGTGAAGCTAAGAGGTCATATAAAGGAGGTCCGGCTAACGTAAGAAAAACTGCCTTTTTACGCCCTTCCTCTTGCACATCATTGGCAAGTAGAAATAAATTGAAGCGCTCCATGTAAGTTGACCACTTATTAAGCTGGCTCAGATCAAACGGCTCTAAGTTTCCACTTCCGGACATTTTCACAGCTGTGGACTTCTGTGCGGTTGATTTTCCTACTCCTTCGGTCGCAGCGGCTTTGTTACTTGTGGGCTCTTCGATTTTTACCCCTTTACCATCCATGTGACTCTTGCACTGACTGTTGCTAACTCACTGCCTCAGCGTATTTATTCACCCTGAAGTTTACCCTTGTATAACTGCGTAGCTTCCAACTATTTATTTCTGCTTGTGATCACGCGTTATTTTATTTCGCTGTGCTCTTACATCCCATCCTCGTCGCCAGTTTTAGGTACGTGTGATATGCAATGTATATACACATAAACAACGGTTACTATTGGAAGTATGTACTTATATATTATGTGTTTGAGAGTAAATATAATGACAAGTAAAAGGTATAAAGAATAGCTTGAATCGTTGGGTAGTGACATGCGCTGAAGGTAGCGATCGAGCCGACTGTTGCAGAGCTACTGACTACATACATGACAACTCATTTGGGTAATGCCTTTCTTGAGCTTGTTTTATAAGGCGTCTTTTGACCCAATTAAATTCTCTTTGAGTGATAACAAAAGATTCATAATTTATATTTGGAGTGGACTGAAATGGTTTTATTATATGAACAAATCGAAACATGTAAGCTATTACTCCCAAAGCCTTTGACCAAGATCAAAAGCGATCTAAGATATCTGGTTGATTGTCTAAAGTATGTAGAGCTTCTAATTTACGTTCTTCGAGTGGGGTGACATTTTGTTGAAAATATAATGGCCATTGGTTGGGGCGTTGGAGTAGCCATGCGGGTCCGTGCCACCAAAGTGAATGTTGTACTCGGTCCTGTGGTTTGCACCCTCGCGTTCCCAAATCTGCCGGGTTGTGGTTCATGGATACGTGACGCCATTTGAGATTTCCAACACTGGCGATGATTTGTGAAGTCCGATTCGCCACGTACACTTTCCAATTGCATCGGGGTTTTTCAAGCCACGCAAGCACTATCGACGAGTCGGACCAGAGAAAGACTTCTATATCTT